GGAATAAGAGTACGTAGGGTTTTACACTAGGAATTATTGCTTCTGATTCATGAATGAAAATAGTCAGAAGTTACTCGCCAAGAATAGGTGTTTGATGCCAGTTGGATTCATTTGAGCCTCGCGATTGTTGTCATCGCCAATGGTAAGAAGCGTGTCGAGCATGTCGTTAGTGGAGACATAGCTCTCCGACTTCATCTTCCGCAACCTTTCGCCGATGACCCATCCAAAGAGATCCAAAACCTTGCCTATGTGACCCTTGTTCCGCCTCTGTATCCCCTGCAAATCCAACTTCCCCAGAACGGGGAAGAAGTCTCCCAAATTGGGTCTCCCGGCCTCTTCCATGATCCCCCTCGCAACCTCCTTGAACTCCCTGGCCGTCTCCGATTTCTCCTCGTCCGCCAGGTCCATCGAGAGAACAGTGGCCGACAGAGCATTCAAACTGGCCCTGAACGCCACTCTCCCAACATCCACCGCCTCTCCCGGCCTCTCAGAGGCATTTCGTCGAACACCTTCCAGCACCTCGATAATCTTCTCCCTGCGGAGGCCCTGGTTCAAATCCAGCTTCTGGGTCGCGAAGACATACGAGTTGCACACTTTCCTGACGTTCCTCCACTTTGGCCCCACAGGGAGCAGCGGCAGGGCGAACTTGTGGGTGTCGAGGACCTCCATGGCGAGGATCCCATGGCGGTCCGAGAGGACTTTGTCGTGCTTTTGGAGGATCTCCTTGGCGAGAGCCGGGGAAGAAGCCACGATGGTGGTGACTTGGCCCAGTTTGAGTGTCATTAACGGCCCGTGAACCTTGGCGAGATCGGCCAGTGATATGTGAGGCTTGAGGCCGAGATTGTGGAGGTTGCCGATTATTGGCAGCCGGGCGGGACCTGGCGGGAGTTTGCCCGCCGGAGTTCTTGGCAGCAGGAATCGGAGAATGGTGAGGGTGAAGATAAGGCAGAGAAAGCAGTTCAGGAGGAGGAAGAAATCCATTGTTTTCTGCGGCAGGATTTTAGTTAGCTTAGTAAGTTTGCGCTAGATATCGAGATGGTGACTAAGTAGATATATTCTTCTATTGGACTTTCTCTACATGCATGGCAGTAGCTGCCTGCCTAGGATTCCATCCAAGCCTTTTCTTTTTTAAACAAAACATAGGAATTTCCTACAAATGTTTTGAACTAAAGATAACTTAATTTTATTTTAACCTGGTATAGCATCTTTCATTGATTGAAATTACGAAAAATAAAATAGTTATTATATAATGATTATGTAATTTGTGCTTATCTAATGTAAATGCCGTTACGTAAGCTTTACGCAATTGACGGTCCTTTTACGTAATGAATATGTTAACCTCACATTACGTAATAAAGTAATAAGTTATTACGGAAAGCTTACATAACGCTTCTGATTTAACTATTACGTAAGAAATAACTTTCGTTCCGTTGCCTTTACATAATGAATGTGTATTTTACGTAACAATTGTAAAGTGTCAATAAAAGCTCAATAAAGGATAACCTGCACTGCTGATTATCACTGTTTTGGTCAATGGTTTAAATTGATTTTAGTATACTTTTCAATATGTATCCTCATGTTAAAGTCAATCCTAGCTTGGAATGTGCATGGTTTAGGAAGTTCTGAGAAAAGAGCGAGAATTAGGGCTATAATTACTAGTTATCCTTTATTGAGGAATCTCAAATAATACACAGTTTGGCCTAAAATGAAGCCATCAAAATTACAGAATATTCCCCCAATTTCGATAAAAGATCTGCCAAAATCACTAGTTATCCTTCCCAACCAATTTTGGATTATGATTATTGATGATAATTGTCAAGTCTAATTTGTTTTCACAACTGTAAATCTATATAAGATGTTCAATAGCTTAGTTTGGCCCTGCTGTAGCTTTTGCAGAAGCAGCTTCTGGCTGGAGCTTTTAGATAAGTACTTTTCAAAAAAAGCAGTTTAGTGTTTGGCTGTAAAACTATTAGAAGTGCTTTTTAATATGAGCGGTTGTGTAAAATGACTATAAAGGACTTATAATATAAAATATAAATAAAAATTCGAAACAATAAAAAGTAGTCAAAATGGATCTTGTTAGATTTCTTTTATATTAAATAATATGATTTTATAATTTATTTTATTTTTAAAATGATATAAATGAAGGAAAATTATATTTTATGAAATAAAATTAAAATATGGTAAGGATAATCTTGTATTTTCAAAACAGCTTTTCGCAGAAGCTCCAAATCGGAGCTTCTGCTTTTATGTTATACAAAAGCGCTTTTCGGCTTTTCAAAAGCCGAGCTTTTAGAGGTGTTTGGCCCTGCTTAAGCTTTTGAAGCCGAAAAGCACTTCTAAAAGCCGGGCCAAACATAGGCAATGCCTTCTACGATTCCTTGTTAATGTTTCTTGTTTGTACATTAATTTTGCTTCTTCTATTATTTGGTTCCACGAGTGTTCGATGAGTGTTTGTGACTTGAAGACTTGGATAATTAGCTGGATTTATGCTAAAACTTCATCTTTCTTTTGTTTGGATGTTATTAGGCTTAAATCGCGTTTTATATCAATTACTAGTTAAATATTGTAAATTAAATGATACATATGATTTATGGACCAAAGCATATCTAGTTTGGAGATACGTTTCATGTTAAGTTTAAGAAAATTCTAATTATGTGATGATTTGGAATAAAATATATGTTATAAATCCACCGAACACGGCTAACTTCGCATTATCCACAATCACCCACCAGTAGATACTTTGATGATGTAAGTCATTTTCTCCTTCAATCACCACGCTGGTTTCACCAAATCCATAGAAAACCAGCTTACCCCTAATTGGCATTAGTTGATCCATATGCCCACCATCAATGAAGTTTTACCTAAAATAAACCAATTTCGATAAAATCACTAGTTATCCTTCCTAACCATTTTTGCATGAATATCTTCTGGAATTACGGTTACTGATGATGATTGCAAGTCCAATTTGTTTTCACAACTGTAAATCTATATAAGATGTTCAATGCTTTCTACGATTCCTTGCTAATGTTTCTTTTTTGTATATTAATTTGGCTTGTTCAATGATTTGGTTCCACGAATGTTCGGTGAGTGATTGTGGCTTGAAGACTTGGACAATTAGTTGGATTTATGATAAAACTTCATCTTTTTTTTTTTTTTTTTTTGTTATTAGGCTTAAATCATGTTTATATCAGTTGAATATTTTTTTGATTTGCGAACATGTTAAATATTGTAAATTAAATGATGCATCTGATTAATGGACCAAAGCTTATCTAGTTTGGATATCTGTTCATGTTAAGTTTAAGAATGCTTGAAGTATATGATTATCTAGAATAAAATGTATGTTATAAATCCACCGAATACGGCTGACTTCCCATCATCCACGATCACTCACCAGTAGATACATACTTTAATGGTGTAAATCTTCTTTTCCTTCGATAACCACGTGGTGAGTGGATTCAAACCCACCTAAATCCACGTAAAACCAGCTCACCCCTAATTGGCATCAGTTGATCCATATGCCCACCAGCACTGAAGCAATGGGAATCAGGAAAATGAGCAGAGGCAGAGCATCTGCTGCTGGCTCGTATAAAATTTAGACTGCAAATCAGCAACCACTACTGTTAAAGGTATAATACTACTAAAGTATATATAGGGTTAGGGTATATAACAAGCAACAACTGAACAAAAGGAAGGAACCAAGATAAGATAGCATGCAATGCAATGGGCGATTGATTAAAGTATACAGTAAGAGAAACAGACCAGCTCCTTCCTGTTGTCGAGTTTCACTACTGTTGGATCTAATTCCGTTTTAAGGAATATTTAAGGTATCCCTATTGAGGAATCAATGGCGCTTTAATTTCCGTCCGACCTGCTACCTCGATCCTTTCAGTAAAGTTAAGAGACAGCTAGCTCAAAAGGGAAATTAATTCAGACAAAGCTAAGTGAGTAGAGTTGATCATGGACTAATTAATTTCAGTGTTCACACATGCTCTGCTTACAGTTACAGGGACCACTGAAGCCACTGATCGATCGAGTCTATTTATTTAATAACAGGACATGCTAATTATGCCATTGTAGATGGGATCTCTTACACTCAAAAGATCTGATTCCTGCCTAAAAAAGATGCCATTCCACCCGGCCGATAATTAGTTTTTTTATAATAACTTATATTAATTACATTTGACTACCTAAACTATCAAAATGTTACATTTTCATAATAAAGAGGTAGAGGCACATTATAGGGAAGGCATTCGCAGGAGGGAGCTCGTCTCCTTGTGGGACTCGGGCCAATCGACCTTCTTCATATCTTCTCTTCAAGAAAATGGATCACACTGGGATTCAAACCCGACCAAAAATACCCCGTTACCAAGTTATACGATTTGGTAATCAATTTGAACAACAACAAGAACAACAAAAAACCGTTACCCGAACCCAATCCTACCATTTGCAATTGTTGGGATTGGGAATACAATTCTCTCATCCTTATAAACAAAAATTATTGAAGAACTTTGTTCGGTACAACATCTATAGAAATTCATCTGTTGAGCTTAATTCATAAGGAAACCTTTTGGGAATCTACAGTACTCAATGCCATTTAGTCACAGTTGCACTGTAACTGCCTCGAAAACACGTACTGTGTTTCTTTTCTTAGCACTCAGCTGGCCACGTTTAAGGAATGTTTCCACTTTGCCGCGTACGTATATTATATTCCTTTGAGTTTGACTGCAACTTTTTTGCTGTACGATAATGTGATATATATATATATATATATATGTGGTGGGTGGCCAGTGCATGGTAGCCACTTGCCGTGCTTATATTAAATTAAATTAATTAAATAATGTAATGGGTTGATCAATATTAGGGCTACCGCATAGGCCATTTCCCTGAACCTTTCCTTATATATAGACAGCAACCAACTAGACCATTTCCCTCACACAGCCAGCTTCCAAGTTATAGTTACCCACATATATACTCCCCAAACCCACCAACAATTTACAATGTCACCAACAATGTCATTCGAGTCAGCTGCAGGTCCGAGCCATGTCACGGACCGGATCGAGCCAGCAAAATTCCAACGCACACTTTGGGGGGATCACTTCCTCATGGCCAATACCACTGAGGTAATTATATCCATCACTCGATTTGTATTTTAAACGTATGTAATCCCGGGATACGGATTATTTTGTTACATTCTTTTTTAGATAAGGGTGGCATCGATTGATTACCTAGCCTTTTTTTTTTAACGCATTCATTAGTAGCATACCCTTATTGTTATAGTACGTAATCCATAAATTCTTGTAGTTCCTTTCATCAACAACAACATTATTGTTTTCTTAAACTATGTTATCTATCATCCTAAGAACAAAACACATCATTGTTTCCTAAAACTCACTTCTAATTAAAACCCATTTCAGGGGCATCCGGCACAAGAGCTGGAAATTAGGGAACATGAAGTTCTCAAGGAAGAGGTGAGGAGGATGGTGACAGCTGATGAATTTAATGGAGCAGTCGACGACGTCAATGTTCAGGCCATAACCCAGAAGCTACGTTTAATAGATGTAGTTCAACGATTAGGGCTTGGGTATCAATTTGAGACGGAGATTGAGGAAGCTCTGGAGAAAGTTTATGTTCATGGGGGAGAGTCATTCATTCAGAAGGATATTAACATTGATATGTACCATGCGGCCCTTTGGTTTCGACTCCTCAGGCAACAAGGGTTTCGTGTTTCCCCTGGTATGTGTCCATCACCACTCGTTAAGTTGATAAAGATCCAATAATTATTATTATTATTATTATTATTATTATAAACTTTTAATACACCTGTTCGGTATTTGTTGCAACTAATAAATTATTATTATTTTTACTACTATTATGCACCGGTGTAGATGGGTTCAAAAGGTTCATGGATGATGAAGGGCAGTTCAAAGAATTATTGGCCTCGGATGAGCTAGGATTACTAAGTTTGTATGAGGCCGCACATGTGGCGTTCAATGGAGAAGACATATTGGACGAAGCTATGGAATTTGCAACCAAGAATCTGAAGTCGATCATTAAGAATTACAAGGACTCTTCATTATCGAAGAAGCATGTCGAGTTTTCCCTAAGCCTTCCCGTCTGGAAATGTGTCCCCAGAACACTTGCAAGGCATTCAATCGACGTTTACTCCCAAGACGAGAACGCATGCCATGATCAAACAGTCATCTTGAGGCTTGCAAAGTTGGATTTCAACATGGTGCAGAAATTCCACAAGCAAGAGCTTCACCAACTGTCATTGTGAGACCTAACACACAAATTCGACTTTAATCATCATATGCAATAAAAATTTATTTTTCAATCTCTAGCTAGAGTTCATTTAATTATTATGATCAATAACTTGTAACTAATTTAGACCGTTTTGTTTATAAGTTTATCGATGTGATGAGGATAGTCACTTTAGCTCAAATCAGATGATATATATGCGTTGAATTAACTTGTGACATATATATATCATATGTGCAGGTGGTGGGCGAGTCTTGAAACCACGACTAAATTCACATATGCAAAAGACAGACTTGCGGAGTGCTATTTTTGGATCAATGGTGCTTACTTCGAGCCAAGGTATCAACTGGCAAGGATTATACTTGCCAAGATCGGATGCGTAGTGACCCTCTTGGACGACACCTATGACAACTATGGGAACTACAAAGAGCTTGAGCTACTTACACAAGCCATTCAAAGGTACAACTTTTCATCGTAATTGTCTGTCAGCAAAACTATTATCACTCTAATGTTGTGCTTACTACAAACACAATGCTTAACTACAGGTTGGATATCGGTGGTCTGGAACTCCTTTCCGGCAAGTTGAAGGAGGTGTATCAGATCGTCATTGACCTGTTCGAAGACATCGAGCAGGAACTCACAAGAAGTGGACTCAGTACTCTTGGTGTTGACTACTCTAAGGGGCAGGTAGGTGTTGAATTTGTTTCATACTTCTCTGCATATAACCGGGCGTCGAATTGAAGCTTGTTAATGAGATAACATGCATTTTCTTTTCGACTTGCATATGTAGTTTAAGAAAATGTGTTGGGCCTTCTTGGCTGAGGTCCGGTGGCGCACGACGGGTCAGGTCCCGGCTCTGGAGGAGTACTTAATGGATGCAAATGTAACGAGCAGCTATCCTTTTCACTGCACAGCTTCCTTCTTGGGAATGGAAGCAGAGGAAGTCACCAAAGAGGCCTACGAGTGGGTAACCAATGAGACCAACAAGATGGTCATAGCTGCGTCTCTCATTTGCAGGGTACAAAACGACATCGTGTCTCACAAGGTACGTAACCTTAGGGCTGAAAATTTGCATGTCCCGTCTCTGTCCCGTCCCTAACCCTGTCTGACCCGTCCCTGAAGGGTTAAGATGTATAATTGACCCGTCCCTTCCCTGTCTCCTTCTTGACCCTGTCTGACCCTCAAGGGACGAGACGGGATGGGACGGGCCAGGTCAGTGGGTCGACCCTTATCAACACACTACTTTTTTATAAATTACGTTTTGGTACCCAAAATTATTTTTGCTTACAATTTAGTACCTAAAATGTATTTTTTTTACAAATAAGTCCACAAATTTTGATGGTAAAATTACATTTTGGTACACAAAATTTAATTTTTACAAATTAGTACCTAAACTTTTAAAACTTTACAAAAAGGTCCAATGTTGTGTGAGATATTTGTTGTTGCTAAGGGTCACAGGGTCAAAACCTGACCCGTCCCTAAGTTGTCCCTACCTGTCACGACCCTTAGGGACGGGAAGGGTCAGTGGGTCTTCCGGATCAAGCTTTCTCCCCTACGTAACCTACAACACATTAGTATAAATAGTCATATAGCTCTATTAGCTATTCGAACAATGGTGAATCGTGTCGGGTGTATGCATACATGCAGTTCGAGCGAAAGAGGAAGCACGCAGCTTCAGCGGTGGAGTGTTATATGAAGGAGCATGACGTCTCCCAAGAGGATGCGGTTGTTGTGTTGTGGGAAGAGATTTCAAAATCTTGGAAAACCATCATTAAGGAATGTGAGAAACCGACTCTATTTTCTACGGCAGTTACAGATCGAGTTCTCAACTTTGCTCGCGTGATCAGTGTGATGTACGGGAACGGTGATGCTTTCACTCATCCCCATCTTCTCAAGGGTCACATTGCTTCCTTGTTCGCCAACCCAGTGCCGCTTTGAACGACGTCTAAGATGTATGTGATAATATATTTCTTCCTAAAGTTCATTGTTCGAACGCCCTCTTCACGTCTTTGTGTCTTTCTTGTGCCTCTTTGATTCATGTCAGGTTCCGTCGTTTGGATCCTTTATGTATCTGTGTGAACTCTGAAGGTCCGACTTTCACCATCTACGTATGAGAGTTGAATGAGATTTGAGTGTCGGTGTGGTATCTCAAATGGTGAAATTGATGTAAACCATTTGATGTATTGTCATCAATTGGTGTATTGATAAATTTGGTTTATTATAAGATTTGATATTCATGATTGTGTTTTTCCCCGGTAATTGTTGTCCAATTTTTATAACTCTAGCTTGACCAATGTGGCCAAACTCTTTCGAAAGTACATCTGCAGCATGCAGTCACAAAAACGTTCTACCACAACCACAAAATGTACAACATTTACTCCTAATTAACTACAACCTACTATATATTTAACTACAATCTACTACATCACACAGCTACAAGAAAACACCTTTAAAACTCGATAAACCAAACTAGTCGTTTGATTATTGTATAAAACCAAGTCGGCGGCGGCCGAGAGAAATCAGATCTTTTTAAAGCAGGAATATAATCAAATCTTTTGAGTGTAAAAGATCCCATCTAATCTTCCCATAACGACGTAATTAACAATTAGTAATGGATGCATGTTATTAAATAAAAAGACTCGGTGGCCGGCCGGCAGCTGCTGTAGTTTCATGACTCGATCACTTAATTAGCTCTTCTGACTTGATAATTGCTTCCCTTTTGAGCTGTCTCCAACTTTGATGAAAGGAGCTAGCATAGCAATTAGCAAGCACATACATATAGCAGGTAGTGGAATTAGATAACACCAATTATCTGCAGGGTGGCTTTGGCTTGGCTTGGCTTGGCTGCAGGTAGGACGGAAAGGGCAACGACCGACCATATATATGGCCCCGAAGCGCCATTGAATGCATGATATTCCTCAATAGTAAATTAGATGAAAATTAATTGATTTTCATATTGTTTAGGTATATGTATACAGATTTCATTAATTTATTTATAACTAGCGTCACATGTACATATGCAGTAAATCGAATAAAATCTTGCATTTGTTGGATCATTGTCAGCTAGCTAGTGCAGATGGAAATATATTAATCGGTTTTAACTAATCAATATATATATATATATAAACCAGTAAATACAAATAGTATTATATTTATATATATATATTAATCAGTGGAGTGGAGCACCCACTCTCAGCCTGACTTATATACATAGAAAAACTAACACTGAAATGAGCTGTCTCCAACTTTACTGAAAGGAGCTTGCAAGCACATACATGATACATATAGCAGGTGAATATAACAGCAGAATTGCAAAATTCAAACTCTCAATCCAGCTCGATGAACACTCAGAAAGAAACGGCAGCGTTTACCTGGTGCGACGTCGTGCGAGGCTCAGTCAAGCCAACACAAATCCAGTCGACCGTTGGGCAAAGCGGCACCGTTCCACTCTGTTAATTAGCGAACTCCTTTTCCCTTTTCTCTTGTCTTCTACCTTGCTCTTCACTCTGCTGCAAGGACAGCAACTCAGTCTGTACATTGGATTGTAGTGGCAATGCCACATATATATTGAACATCAATGCTAAACCAAAACCCAGGTTTTAGGGTTTCTCTCTTTTGCTGCTGTTAGAATAAGACTTCTCCAATAGATCACCTCAATCGCCAACTACTGAAGTTCATATACTAAAGTGTATGATCCCCAACTATTTGGATACTAGCCTGTAATCAATAATGCCACACTGACACTACTTAATGGTACGTACATTTGTCTACTATTAAGCATCTTCACCATATATAATATTTTTTTGATAATGATCTTCACTATATATATACAGCTGGATCTGGATGGCAAGCACATGGGTATATATAAATTACCAATAAGTAGTGCTGCTGTTCAATAACATCGCATCTCAAACGCACCAGAGAAGCTAAGAGCAATTCAGAATGGATGATACCGTTGCACTAATCCTCAGTCTCTGCCTTGTCATCATATCGATATCATTCCTCCTCCTAGTAATGAAAAGGTCTGCCAATAGGTCTCCCAAACCGCTTGGGGTGCGGCCTCCTGGGCCGAGGAAGCTTCCGGTCATCGGAAATCTGCACCAGTTAATTATGACTTCGTCTCTCCCACACCGCCGCCTGGCGGAGTTGGCCCGGAAACATGGGCCTCTGATGCACCTCGATCTCGGACAAGTACCCTGCGTCATCGTTTCCTCCCCAGAATGGGCCAAACAGGTCATGCAAACCCACGATCTCAACTTCGCCAACAGGCCCACATTGCCTGCCGCCGACATCTTATTATACAGCGGCCGAGACATCGGGTTTTCTCAACCTGGCGAGTACTGGAGGACGATGAGGAAGCTCTGCGCAGCCAAGTTGTTGGGCCCCAAACGCGTCAAGTCGCTCCAGCCCACTATGGAACGGGAGATGAGTAAGATGGTGGCGTCCATCACCTCCTCTTGCTGTGGCCACGCTACTCAAAAATCCGGTAAAAAGTATTCTTAACTTGAATTGATTCTTTACTTAACTTGTTTAATTTTATCTTTAGATCACACATTACATTACCAAAGAGTTATGTAACATCGTTTTATAACAATTAGGTAAATTAGAAATTCATTCTTAGAGGGATAATTATTCCCTATGTATTGATCTGTTGCCATAAGTTCTTTTTACCGTAGTCAACTATATTTGCGTGATAGAAATACATTACTTACTCATATTAAATAAAAATTTATATTAGCACCTAAACTTTTCAAAACTTACATATTAATACAATGCTTTGAATGTTATTTGGATTCATGGATCAATCCACCATTTCATATAATCCAATCCTTGAAAAATGAAAACCACTATCCTGAGTCCTGACTGACTGTGTATGCGCACAACAATTTCAGGTGTCAACGTATCTCGAATGCTTTGTTGTTTGGGGAACGCCATCAGTACAAGTGCAGTATTTGGGGGGAGCAGTAGCACCCAGAAGCAACGGCAAGAATTTGTGCCACTCATAAAAGAAATTACTAAGGCGGTGGGTGCGTTCAGCCTCGTGGACGTGTTCCCTTCTAGCAAGTTGTTGCGTCGCATCACACGATACGAACCCAAACTGAAGAAGATTCACGCAGCAGCTGATGCCATTATGGAAGCTGTAATCAACGACCATATGGCAAAAAGATCAACAAAACATGACCAAGATGACAATAACGATGAAGATCTTGTTGACGTTCTTTTGGATCTCAAGGAGAAGGACGACCTCCGATTCCCTTTCTCCAACTTCGAGATCAAAGCTGTCATCCTTGTGAGTATTCTTATTATTTATTTTTATGAATAAAAAGAAATGCATATGTTATAGGTCCATATGATGATTCACTATATTATTCCATTTTGCAGGACATATTTATTGCTGGGACTGAAACCTGGACTATCACGGCAGCATGGGTAATGTCTGAGCTCATGAAGAATCCGGATGTCATGGAAAAGGCACAGAAAGAGATCAGACAAGTAGTATTTAGTAGAAACGGGGAAAAAGATGTGAACGAAGCAGACATTGGTGAATTGAACTACCTGGAGCTCGTTTTAAAAGAAACCTTGAGATTGCACACCCCTGATGCTCTTACAATCCCAAGGGAAAGTCAAGAAACGACGGTGATTAATGGATATCGGATCCCTGCCAAGACCAGAGTCATAATTAACGCATGGGCAATTGGTCGAGATCCCGATTACTGGACCGAACCAGAAACTTTCAATCCAGAAAGGTTTCTCAATTCCTCCGTTAGTTACAAGGGACTCGATTTTCAATTAATCCCATTTGGAGCGGGACGAAGAATTTGCCCTGGCATGCATTATGGAGTTGCTATAGTGAAGCTTGTGATTGCAAATTTACTCTACCATTTTGACTGGGAGCTACCAAACGGAATGATGCCCCAAGAGTTGGATATGTCCGAAAGCTTTGGGACGGAAGTCGGAAGGAAAAACGATCTTCTGCTCATCCCCATTCCATACCACCCCTAAACCAGCTTCCTATATATGCCTGGGGAAGCGGTTTGGTCAAGGAGCACTCCGCGTCCGCGGCAGAAACGATCGCGTCGTATTGTAATCATTAATCTTAATTTTTTTTAATTTTTTTTAATTTTTTTTTTTTTTTGTAATTGAATAGTCTGCAACTGTTTGTTTTTAAAATAAGGGTGATCGTTGGTTATAATCTTTGAATTTAGGGTAATGTATTGTCAATGTGATTATGTGTTATTAAATAAATAGAGTCAGTAGCTGGCTGCTGCAGTTTCATGACTCGCCTTGACCTTGAGTGGTGTGGAGCAGCCACTCCCAGCCTGAATTATTGTTCACCGTTGATCGCTCACCCTCCCGTCCCGCATCTCTAGCTCCTCCACATTGCGGCGGCTCTCACGGTTGGATCCCATTCTTTTAAGTCATAATAATTATATATTGAGGAATGAACTATGAATGTAACTTGCGGTGTTTCAATGGCACCTCAAGACCAGAATTTGTTGTTGTCCTTTTGTCCCCCCCTGCAGCCACCCAGCCTCAGCTTCCTTTAATTTCCCAAGTAAAAGTATATAGATCCAAGCGACCTGCTACCTCCTCTTCTCGACGACCCTGCTACTAATCCTCCGATCTCACCACCTCAAGAAGACGACAGGACAGGAGGACACAGTCTCATAACAAAATTTAATTGGGAATTCCAAGCTATAAGGTGTAAATGGATTTACAAACGTGGGCGTCTGAGGGTCTTGGTTGTCGTAAACTCGGGCCGTTCAATGATGCTGTACTGTACTTACAAAGCAATGCTGGAGTCTGGAGATCGGTGATATTGCCCGATTCCTTGGTTGCTCCACTCGGTGCAAGAAATTGAGCACTACTTTTTGCGACAGAAGGTAAAGATTCAAATTTACGGGAGCTGACTCAGCCCTTGACAGGGGTGGTGATGGTATGAGCAGAATCATGATCGAGAAAGGAAGAGAAGGGATTTCAAGCCGCTGGGTGAAGGGTTGGGCCGGTTAATTATTGACAGCTGCAACTTTATATATATGTCTGTTTTGAGTTTTTTCTCAGCCTTGTTGCTGATTAGTTAGGGTGGCTTTCGAATTAGGTTTAGTTTGGATTGTGTTGTGTTGTTCTTATGGTTTCTGTAATTTTATCTTGACAATAAAATTTTATTAAGAAGAAGGGGGGAAAACGTTGGATTGGGGGGCGGGGGGAAAGGTGACATAATTGGTACCTTATAGCTATGCTGCGAAAAGAAAAAGAAAGGAAAGGAATGGAAGACCCCAAATGAAATGAGATTGATGCTAATGAACTACATCACCAATTTTTCTCATCTCAGGAATAAAATAAATAAAAATTGGCAACAGTAGCGCTCCTTTTAAAGTAAAGATGATCAGCCTCTCTTTTCATACACCATGATGATTGATGGTCTCATCTCAGAGTCGGAATAGCAAGTAAGGGTTTGGCCTTTTGCAGAGTCACTCCAAACTTCTCTTTCATATTCAGTTGTTCTGGCTTGACTCCACTCGGCAGCTTCCAGTCGAACCAATGAACCAACGAACCTAACATCATATGCAACATCCTATACGCTAATGACATTCCAGGGCATATCCTTCTCCCTGCGCCAAATGTGATGAGCTCAAAGTGATTCCCCCTGGCATCAACCTCCGAACCCAAGAATCTTTCTGGTGTGAACGAGTTTGGGTCATCCCATATCATCGGATCTCGACCTATTGCCCATAGATTTACTAGAATCTGAGCACCTTTGGGCACGGTGAAACCATCGATTTCCACGTCTACTCCTGCTTTATGGGGCAGTAGCAAGGGAAGAGGTGGGTGCAACCTGAATATCTCTTTTATTACTGCTTGTAAATATGGCAATCGAGGAATGTCTGATTCGTTGAGATGGTTTTCTTTTCCAATCGTTTGGTCTAGTTCTTCCTTGAGTTTAGTAAGAGCTTTGGGATTGCGGAGGAGCTCTGCCATTGCCCATTCTAGAGTGGTTGCAGTTGTATCAGTCCCAGCAACAAATAGATCCTGATATGTCAAGCCAAGATCAAGAGTAAAGAAAGTATGTTATCAATACCGTTTTAGCAGCAGCAGCAGCAACAACAACAACAACAACAAAATCCTCAGTGGCTAGGATCAAAACTAAAGAATGAGTGTGTGCAACAATCCATGCAGTAGTACTAATGCAAATGTATACCTCGTTACTTTGAACAAAAATACTCACCAAGAACAAGTACTTGATGCGTTGTAGATCCATGTGAACCTCTTCTCGATTTTCGGCGTCGTCATTAATGGCTAGAAGCGTATCGAGCACGTCGTTAGCCGAGACATAGCTCTCCGACTTGCGCTCCCTCAACCGTTGGTCGATTAACCATTCAAAAAGATTCAAAGCCTTCTCCATATGAACCCTAATCCTCCTCTGTATCCCCTGCAAATCGAACTTGGCCAAAAAGGGGAAAAAGTCTCCCAAGTTGGGCGTCCCGGCCTCATGGGTCATCCCGCTCGCAAGCTCCTTGAACTGCCTGGCGGCCTCTGACGTCGCCTCGTCCGCCAGATCCATCGACAGGATGGTTGCCGACAGGGCATTCAAAGTGGCCCTGAACGCCACTTTCCCCACATCCACCGCCACCTTCTCCTCGGAGCAGGCATTTCGTCGAACACCTTCCACTAGCTCCACAATCTTGTCCCTCCTGAGGCCCTGGTTCGAATCCAGCTTCTGGGAGGTGAAGATGTACGAGTTGCACACTCTCCTGAGGTTCCTCCACCTTGGTTCCACGGGGAGCATGGTAATGGAGAATTTGTGGAGGTCGAGGGTTTGCAAGGCGAGGACGACGTGGCGGTTGGAGAGGACTTTGTCGTGCTTTTGGAGGATCTCCTTTGCTACAGCCGGGGAAGAGGCCACGATGGTGGTGACTTGGCCCAGCTTGAGGCTCATCAAGGGCCCATGGACCTTGGCGAGGTCGGCCAGTGATTTGTGAGGGTTGAGGCCCAGATTGTGGATGTTGCCGATGATTGGCAGCCGGGCGGGTCCAGGCGGGTGTTTAGCAGCTGGAGTTTGGTTGTTGGTTGCTTTTCTTGCCAGGAATCGAAGGAATGTGAAGGAGACGAGGCAAAGTAAGCAATTCACGAGGAAGAAGAAGAAATCCATTTTCTCGATCTAGATGGGTTGGCTGCGGAGGATAGCTTTAATTTGTTCCTGAGAGTTCCCCTGCTTGATATATTTATCGTGAACTACTTTACTGTACAGTAGATGATTATTTAAAGAAACCTCCACAAAGCAAACAGCAGCCCTGCCCCTACATATGCATTCACATAAACACTTGTCATCTTTCTTTGTCGTTTTCTCCTTTTGAAGGGAACCACAGTATTATTTTTTTCGTAACTTGTTAATAACATGGTTCGTCTTACTTTACAGATAGATTCCCATGATACCTTAATCAAAGAGCATAAATTGGAATTTTTTTGTTCAATGTGCACCACTGCCAGATTGGTGGCATTGGTTTCCCACTAAACCTCTTAATATTCCAAGTTGCTCAACTTTATACTTTTTTCTTAGTTCTTTTTCTTAGTTCCAATTTTTGTATGAAAATGGCCACTAACCCATTGGATTTTTCAATTTTGTTTTGTTAGGTGGGCTACGGTTTGGTTCCGGGTCGGGTTGGGTTAATGGTTTGGGTTGGGTGTGACGAGGCGGGTTTAGTGATGTGGCAGGTCGAGTTTGACCATTTCTGGGTCAAAACGGCACTGATTAGGCGCTCTCGTTAGCCACATCAACACATAACGGACTTTATTAACGGAATTGGACGGAGACTAACGGTAATAGAGAGTGACTAAATATGATCTGTTTTAGTAATTAGAGTGACCAAATTTGATATTAACCTTGTTTTTCTTAGTGGGTTCATTTTAGATTGTTTAAACAAAAGTACTGAGTATGGTTTATGCTCTCCCACTGCTACTATAATACTGACAATAGTCAATATTTCTTTACAGGACCACAGGCACAATACATTTGACGAGTTCTGGGCCCTGGTACCACAACGGCAAGCCTGCCTTCCTCTCCGATCTTACAAAAGAGCCCAGGCCTGATTCTAGGCCCATCATATTGACGAGGCCCCGAGCCCATCTTGTTCTTGTGCACCCTTATCCACATTTTGTCATTTTCTTATGCTTGCTGTAATAATCAAAGGATCAATGAGGTACACGATTACAAGTAAAAAGGCTTAGATGCCCAAAATGTGCGTTGAATTCCGAGTTATGTGGCAAAATGCTTAGCAAATTAAAGTCGTGTAGCTAAATGCTAAGCAATCACTTTGTCCAACTTATTGAGAGATGATGGTGATTAATACAAGGGTCATTTCTTGAGAACTCAGCTCACTAGAACAAATCCTAAAAAAATTCTCGATCAAGTTCCATTTATGACCACAAAGAGAGAAGATTTTCTAGTTCAGTTCGTTTGGAGCTGGATAGAGAAAACGTGTCCAGGCACAAATATGATATCACATGGAGTTGCCATTCTGAATTTCGCTCTCAAGTTTACTCTGTCGTATTTATTATAAACTTCATATAATCAGATTAAGCCTCATTCTACATGTTTGAAATACTTGGCTATGTGGCATTTAAGATGTTTAGTGGATAGATATAATCAATTTCTTAAAAAACATCAACGATGTCATATGTTCCATTCACCCCGGTAACGGCAAGCTGAGGTGGACGTAAGACTATACACACTTGAGTTCCACGTCATAGTCAAATGTTAGCGGCGCCAAAAGTCATTTGTATGTACTTTTTTCATAGTAGATTTTTGTTTTAGAGCATATATATTTATTATCATATAAACAAGGCTATTTTTTAAAAAAAAACACTGAGAAGGAATATCATGAATAACACAAAAACACATAACACTTACAATGATAATTTCTCAAGTTTAATGCTTTAAATTATCAAGATTATTATTGGAAAGTGGTGAATCGATGATAATTAATACATTGATGTGAATTGATGATGGTTGATGGTGTTTATGTGAGAGAAATGGATGATGATGATGATGGTAGATGAGAAGAAAAAGAAGCATCATTTTGCAAATTTTGAGGAAAACAATTAAAAATAGTTGTCCCAAAAATTTTAAATTGTAAAATCGTAAGATTTAAAAATGCTCTCTGCACCATCATACTCAAAGCTGACGACATTTTTTTTTTTTTTTAATAATGGTGACATAAATTAAAATTAATACAAAAGAAAATACAACTTCGGGGACCGGAGACAAAGAGAGAAAGGCAGAAGGGAACAACACTGGAACAAAGAACCCAGAAACAGAGATGGAACAACCAAAAACAGCGCTCTCCCCAACTAAGCAGGAAGCCAAAAAACGGAGAAAGCACAAGACGGACCAGACGAGACCCGAGCGAAGCAGGTAGCAGCTCTCGTTAAACCGGTGGGTCAGCAACTTTGCGAGCAGCAGCGTCCTGCAAACTCCAACCTGGGACAAGGTGGAGCTTCAGATTTGTGAACCACGATTCAACAATCTCCCGATCAACTTTCCCGGCAACAACAAGCCATCCAATAATCTCACTTGCGATATTAAGGCATACGACACGAGGGGGTGACGACATTTATCAAAGGAATCGGTTAGTTAATTGATTGCCACTGGAAATGTCCATTGAAACACCGCAAGTGGCATATGATGTGAATGATATACCTCAATAAACTAGTTAAAAGTTAATTAATTTGTGACTAGCATATTTTTGCAGCAGATCGAATAAAATCATGCGTACGTTGGATCATTGTCAGCTAGCTAGTGTAGATTGAAATATATTAATCAGTTAACAAATTAACTAAATCAATATATATATATATATAACAACTTAAATAATTAATTAGTCTTCCCTCAACCACTCCATTAATTAATTAGTCTACTCCTCGCTGATGTCATTTAGTGTGTTAATCAGGAACTCAACCAGAGATGATTAATTCTTTTATTAAGTGATGGAATTTTTTTTTTTTTTTTTTTTTTTTTTGTTAATGGTGACATACTGACATTAATTAAGGGATCCAATTACAAGTTAAACTGAAAAAAGAAAAGGAAAGGAAGAAGCAGAAGTGAGACGGGAACAAAGGAAGGGAAAGCAAGCTAGTTGGAACCAAACCAACCCGGTTGCAAACACACCAGCCACTCCATAATAGAGCATCCAATCCTGATGCAAACAACCTGAGCAGGGGCTGGTGAATCCTCAAAAATTCTTGAGTTCCTCTCCTCCCAAATATTCCAGCAAAGGGCATGTAAGAGAGCTCTCGACCACCATTGGGCAGGGTCTTGCGGTTTACTAGTCGGCCAATCTGCAATCAGATCTGGCAGGCTTTCCTGAAGATTATGATCGAGATTCACAAATAGAGGCTTTCCTAAAGATTTTATTGATAATAAACAGATACAGGTATCCACTAGCACCGTTGATCCTCTTCATACATGTCATGACCATGTCATCTAAGATTTGGAATAACAAACAGAGGTTTTACTTTCTTTAAATTTATCCCGAATTTTTCATTCATATCCAACTCTTTCGGCTCGATCCCATCCGGTAGTTTCCACTCAAACCAATGAATCAGCGAACCCAATATCATATGCAGCATCCTCAATGCCAAAGGTAATCCTGGGCAGATCCTTCTTCCGGCACCGAATGGAATAAGTTCAAAATTGTTTCCCTTAGCATCAACCTCTGAACCCAAGAATCGTTCTGGTAGGAACAAGTTCGGATCATCCCATGTCATTGGATCCCGACCAATAGCCCATACGTTAACAAGAATTCTTGCACCTTTGGGCACGATGAAACCACAAATTTCTACATCTTCCTTAGCCTTGCGGGGAAGTAGAAGAGGCGTTGCTGGATGTAGCCTGAAAGTCTCTTTCAGTATTGCTCGTAGATATGGTAGACGAGAGATGTCCGACTCTTGAAGATGATTGCCTTTTCCAATAGTTTGGTCTAGTTCTTCCTTGAGTTTAGCAAGTGTGCTGGGACTACGGAGGAGTTCTGTCATTGCCCATTCTAGTGTGCTTGAACTTGTGTCAGTTCCAGCAGCAAACAGATGCTGATAGTTCCATGTCACACCAACATTATTTGTGATTAGATAAACAAAAAGAGGAGTGATATTGCTTTCAGTCAGGTGCCCAAAGTAATCAAAATTAAGCTACTCACCAAGAACAAGTGTTTGATGTGAAGTGGATCCATTTGAGCGTCGCGATCGTCGTCATCTCCAATGCCTAGAAGTGTGTCAAGCATGTCGTTAGTGGAGACATAGTGCTCAAACTTGAGCTTTTGCAACCGTTGGTCGATCACCCATCCGAACAGATCCAGCACCTTGGCTACATGGTTCCCCATCCGCCTTTGTATGCCCTGCAGATCCATCTTGGCCAGAAGAGGGAAAAAGTCTCCCAAATTGGGCTTTCCGGCCTCTTCCAGCATCCCCCACGCAAGCTCCTTGAATTCCCGAGCAGTCTCTGACTTCTCCTCATCTGCAAGATCCATCGACAGAATGGTCGATGACAGAGCATTCAAACTTGCCTTGAACACCAGTCTCCCAACTTCCACTGCCTCCCCCGGCCTCTCACACACATTTCGTCGAACACCTTCCAGGAGCTCTGTAATCTTCTCCCTCCGGAGGTCCTGGTTCGAATCCAACTTCCGGGGGGTGAAGACGTATGAGTTGCACACTTTCCGGAGATTCCTCCACTTGGAGTCCACGGGGAGCAACGGTAGGCCGAATTTGTGGATGTCACCGGCTTCCATGGCGAGGGTGATATGGCGGTCGGAGAGGAGTTTGTCATGCTTTTGGAGAATCTCCTTGGCTACAGCTGGGGAAGAAGCCACGATTGTGGTGACTTGGCCCAGCTTGAGGCTCATCAAGGGCCCATGGACCTTGGCGAGGTCGGCCAGTGATTTGTGAGGGTTGAGGCCCAGATTGTGGATGTTGCCGATGATTGGCAGCCGGGCGGGTCCAGGCGGGAGTTTGGCCGCCGGAGTTTGGTTGTTGGCTGCTTTCCTTGCCAGGAATCCAAGGAAGGTGAAGGAGAAGAGGCAGAGTAAGCAATTCACGAGGAAGAAGAAGAAGAAATCCATTTTCTCTGGATGGATTGGCTGCGGAGGATGGCTTTGTTCCTGAGAGTCTTAAAGGTTAAAGCTTCCCCTGCTTGCTATCTTGATCGCGAATTATTGTCCAGTATATACAAACAGCAGCTGGCCGCCCTGCATATTACATTAACATAACATTACATTAGTGTTCTTTCATTGTTGTTTTCTCTCTTTGGAAGGAATCAATAACAGTATTATTTTTTTTTATCACAACATGTTAATGTCATATTGGTATTGGAATGAGACATTGGTTCGTTGGGGAGGTAATGCCATATTCTAATATTTTGATTGCGTATATGCTTTTCTCACTGAACCTCTTAATATTCTAAAATTCAAATAAACCTTAATAATTGATGGTTAAATATTGAAACCCTTTTTTTTTTGTTGAAACTTATCTCCCCATATAATTGATGGTTAAATATTGCAAGATAGTTTTTTGGATTTTAGTATTTTTTTTTTTTTTTTTTTTTTTTTGCATAGTGGATTCATTTTAGATTTTTAAGACAAAAGTGAGTATTGGTTTCTGCTCGCCCATTGCCACAATACATTTGACGAATTATGGGCTTTGGTAATTGGCATCACAACGACAAGCCTGCCTTCCTCTCCTCCGATCCTTTCAAAAGAGCACAGGCCCGATTCTGGGCCCATTGTATTGACGAGGCAAAGTACTCATCTCCGAACCCATCATTTTCTTGTGCACTTATCCGCAGTTTTATTGGGGTTTTTTTTCTTACGAAACTTGATTTCATTACGAAATGGGTGAGCTACGAAACAGTTTTATTGGTTGTTGCTGTAATAATCAAACAAACGATCAATGAGGTACACGATCTATACAAGTAAAGAAGCTTAGATAGCAAAATGTTAGTTACCGTTTCTGACAAAAATAAGTATATTTGGCATTTTTTAAAAAATGACTGTTTGTCACAAAGATCATAAGGCCATTCCAACCACCCACTGTTAACTGTGTCCAACTCAAGGTGAGACAAATGTTTGACGTAATTAAAGGAGGAGAAGATTATGAAGTTTCCGATGCATGGGTGAGGTTAGGGCTGTTAATGAACCTGAACGGCTCGGTGTGCGACTCGAGAAAAACTTGTTCGACACTCGATTCGTTTTAATCGAGCCGGCTCGCGAACAAGCTCGTTAACTAAACGAGCCGAACTCGAGCCATACCATGTTCAGCTTGAAAGCTCGCGAACAAGCTCATTTAATGGTTTGACATAAAAAAAAGGATTAGAATTCATGGATTTTATGTATTGAAATTGGGATAAATATTGTGTTTTACTTTGCTAGACTTTGTTACAGGTTAGAATGTAATTTTGTGCGCAGTTCTAGGTCAATCTTGAGCTATCATGAACATTTTATGAGCTGAACTCGAATTTGGGCTCGTTAAGCTTATTTGACGAGCCGAGCTCGAGTCGAGCTCGAGCTTTCATTTTCACAAACGAGCCGAACTCGAGCTTGCATATTAAAGCTCGTGACGAACACGAGCCGAGCTCGAGCCTGGAAATATATTAACGAGCCGAGCCCGAACTATGGCAAAGCTCGGCTCGACTCGGCTCATTAACAGCCCTAGGTGAGGTACAATATTTTTAACAAAAAATCTGAGACTACATACACTTTCGCTATGGTTAGTGAATATAAGATATCCTGCAAGACCAAAGTCGTCATTATATAGAACTGACCTCAATCTGAATAAAGTTTTTAGTTCATAATAATGAAATAAAATATCCAAAAGAAGAAGGAAAAAACAACCCTGCGCCACTCAACCCTTACCCACTTATGCCCCGTTTGTTTCCCTCAACAACATGAGTGAATGTAAACCTCACGTTTTAGAAATGGCCACCTACCTTCCCTAAAACTGTTCCACCAATAAAACTGCTTCCGGCCATTCTATTCTATATAATATAGCCTTAGTCCTTGAGAAACCCCCAACCATTTTCAAAACCTGACCCTTGTTTCCTGTAGAAAGTGAGGAACTGCAAAATGGGCAAGAGTGAGGAGGTGGTTCTACTGAACTACTGGCCGAGCCCGTATGGGATGAGGGCAATGATTGCGCTGGCGGAGAAAGGAGTCCAGTACGAGTACGTCAGCGTGGACGTCGTCAACAACAAGACCGAACTTCTGCTTCAGATGAACCCGGTTCACAAGAAGGTCCCCGTCCTCATCCACAACGGCAGCCCCGTCTGCGAGTCTCTCGTCATCGTGCAGTACATCGACGAGCTCTGGGCCGCCGACGGCAAGCCTGTCTTCCTCCCTTCCGATCCATACCAAAGAGCCCAGGCCCGATTCTGGGCCCATTATATCGACGAGGTACATACGTTTATATAGTAATCTGCTCATCTCCAAGCCCACCTTCTTCTTGTGCACCATTGTCCACATTTTATACATGAATAATAATTAATGTTTGTGGTGCAGATATTTGAGTTTGGGAGGAAGATCTGGATAAAGACAGGGGAGGAAGTGGAAAAGGGGAAGAAGGAGCTAGTTGACTCCCTCAAACTCATGGAGTCACAGCTTGGTGACAAACCCTACTTTGGAGGGGAAGAGCTTGGCTATGTGGACATTGCTCTGGTTCCATATTACAGCTGGTTCTATACCTATGAGCAGTTTGGGAACATCAGCATTGAAGCAGAGTGCCCCAAATTGGTGGAGTGGGCTAAGAGATGCATGAAGAAGGAGAGTGTTTCCAAGGCTCTTCCTGATCCCGTTAAAGTGCATGACTTTGTTGTCATGCTCAGGAAGAAATTTGGCGTTGATTCTTAGTAATAAGTGTGCTACAATGTCCAAAGAATGGTTGCTTAATATGGCTTTAATGTAATGGTATAACAAGCGAAATAAGGAGAGAAAAATGGGCTGTGACTCAATTCCATGTGTGGTCTCTTACCCGATGGAACGATTTATTTGGATTATCAATTAGTTATTCGTTGTTTCTAAATTCTCTTCATCAAAATGTTACTTTCAAAGTACTTAAAAGAAAAATAACGTCGTCAAATAACTTATTACAAGAGCAATAATTTTCCAATATAGGGAATAGTCTCGATATGCCGGAATCATCTCATATGGGAGTTGGAACAGCAAGCAAAGGCTTGGCCTTTTGCAAGGCTATCCCAAACTTCTCTTCCATATTTATCTTCTCTGGCATGACCTCGTTTGGCAACTTCCATTCAAACCAATGAACTAAGTAACCCAACATCATGTGCAACATTCTCAATGCCAAGGGCATTCCAGGACAAATTCTTCTTCCTGCACCGAATGGAAGCAATTCAAAATTGTTCCCCTTAGCATCAACCTTTGAACCCAAGAATCTTTCTGGCATGAATGAGTTCGGATTGTCCCATATCATCGGATCACGACCTATAGCCCATACATTTACTAGAATTTTTGCACCTTTGGGCACAATGAAACCACATATTTCCACATCCACCCCTGCCTTGCGAGGAAGTAGTAAGGGAACTGCAGGGTGTAGTCTAAATGTCTCTTTCACTACTGCTTGTAGATATGGTAATCGAGGGACGCCTGACTCCTGAAGATGAATGCATTTTCCAATAGTTTGGTTAAGTAATTCCTTAACTTTAGCAAGTTTGTCGGAATTGCGTAGCAACTCTGTCATAGCCCTTTCTATCGTGCTCGAAGTTGTATCCGTACCGGCTACGAAAAGATCCTGATAAACCAAGATAAGTGAGGAAAAGGAACGAAGAGAAACAGAGTGATGAAAATCAAGAGCTAGCCCCTACATTAAGTTGTTTCGACAAAACAATACTTCCTTTTGACAATAAATTTTATGATATCATCTCGTTTATCTACTAATGGTTCCTTTATCAATAATTTTATTCATGCTCTTGATGACTCTCACATGCCTAAGAATTTTTCCTTTTTCTACCCGCATTGATTAAGGTCCTATAATTCCTAAGATAGACATATTGATGAAAATAACATCAAGGATATGTGGAATTTTGGACTAGAAATAAAGCGTAAAACCATGGGTTTACCAGCCTAACTAGTCGGTAACCTTTGATGTGGTCAAAACTTTTGACTAAAGGTCTCTAGCTACTTAATTAAACACCTATGGGTTAATCAAAAGTACTCACCAAGAACAAGTATTTGATGCAATTTGAATCCATGGTAGTCTCGCGATTGTGATCTTCATCTCCATGGCAAGAAGCGTGTCAAGCATGTCGTTGGTGGAGGCATAGTTCTCCGACTTCAGCTTCCTGAGTCGTTCGTCGATGATCCATCCGAACAAATTCAAAACCTTCCCGGGATGGGATACGGTAACAACCCCTAAGGGGGTTGTGAGATTGACAACCAAGGGTATTTTGGGTATGGACAAAAAAACGAATTTATTAATTAATTTTTTAATTAACTACAGATTTGAATTAAAAACCCATATTAAATACATGTTTTTTTAAATTTTGAATCCTATAATAAATACAACTCTCTCTTCCTATCTCTCTCTTCATTTTCAAGCAGCCACTCCACTCCACTCCGACCGGCAGACTTTCTCCGACAAGATCTTTGAATACGACTCGCTCCGGCCACCTATAAAAAATTAAAACTATGTCAGTACGTTAGTGGTACGTACCACTACCACTAGTACCGGGTAGTGGTAGTGTACCACTATCATTTGGTACAACTGTCTTCTGATACTTGGTAGTGGTAGCGTACCACTATCATTTGGTACCAATACCATCTGGTACCTGGTAGTGGTATCGTACCACTACCACGTACCAGATGGTAGTGGTACCAAATGATAGTGATAGCGTACCACTACCAGCTACCACTCCATATAGTACCAATACCACTAGAAAATCAGTACCACTACAAAAAACCAGATCTGAAAATCCAAAAAATCACAGATCTGAAAAACGAAAAGGAGGAGAGGAGAGGAGGCACAAAGAGGAAGAGGGACTCACACCGGAAGAGGTAGGGAGAGGAGGCACGACGGTGGCAATAGAGAGCTGGCAACGACAGGGGGTGGAGGGCGCCGAAGGATTGCGGTGACGGTGGAGGGCTCGGCTGGGGGTGAGAGAGGTGGCGGCTATAGAGGGCGGCGGAAGCAGTGTTGGGTGGAGAGAGGCGGCAGCGGTGGTTGAGGCCGGTGGCAGTGCCGTTTGGAGAGAAGGAGGTGGGAAAGTGAGAGATGATGGGGAGAGGGAGGAGTTAGGGTTTTTATTTTATTTATATGGGAGGGAGAATGATTGGGTGTGGTAACATTTTTCCTTTTCAAAAATACTCTTCTTTTAATCCTAACCATCAACTTAAAAAAAAAGGCAGGAGAGAGAGTGTATCCAACGGTTAGTGAGTGGGTTGTGAATCTCACAACCCCTAAGGGGGTTGTCACCGTATCTCATCCCCTCTTCTATTATCCCTCTCGCAAGCTCCTTGAACTCCCTGGCGGTCTCCGACCTCTCCTCGTCCGCCAGATTTAACGAAAAAATACTGGCCGACAAAGAATTCAACGTGGCATTGAACGCCGCTCTCCCAACATCCACCACTGCCTTCTCAGACGCATTTCGTCGAACACCTTCCACGAGCTCCACAACCTTGTCATTGCGGAGCTCTTGGTTCACATCCATCTTCTGGGTAGTGAAGATATATGAATTGCACACTTTCCTGAGATTCCTCCACTTGGAATCCACGGGGAGCGCGGTCAAGCTGAAGTCGTTGAGGTTGTGGGCTTTCCCGGCAAGGACGAGATGGCGGTCGGAGAGGACTTTGTCGTGTGCTTTTGGAGAATCTCCTTGGCTACAGCTGGGGAAGAAGGGTGACTTGACCCAGCTTGAGGCTCATCAGGGGGCCATGAATTTTGGCGAGATCGGTGTAACAACCCGGAAGACAGCTGGCAATGACGTGGACAGAGAGTCATTCAGTATAAATAGTAAGGACTTCTTTGCTGTGGTCATCTTTTACTGAATAAACAGAAGCATAGTTACTTTACCAATTCGGTTCGATTAGCTGTAGAAATAAAAACTCATTTTCTCTTCTCTGTATCTCCATCTTCTTCTTCCATTCACTCCTTCGCCAGATTTCCCCAACAACGATCCTTACAATCGGCCAGTGATTTGTGAGGGTTCTCGCCGAGATTGTGGAGGTTGCCGATTATGGGGAGCCGAGCGGGAGGTTGGGCGGCGGAGTTCTCTTTGCCTGCAGGAATCGAAGGAAGGCGATGATGGTGAAGATGAGGCAGAGTAAGCAACTGAATAGGAAAAAATCCATTCTGGAACAGAGACAGATTGAGGGAGGGGATTTGCTCTGTTATTTTCTCAGTTTGAGGCTTTGAGCTTCGAATTACTTCCCAAAGCAACTTGACGCATCCAATTTTGTTATTTTTCATAATTCAGAAACCTCCATGTGATCATTTAATAAATGTACAGATTCACCTATTCAAATCGTGATCAGTTAAGGAACATGGGAAAGTCTTCGAACGCAGCTAAGCAAATATGGATGGGAGGCTTAAAAATAATTTAACAAAATAGTGTACTGCTTTGATAGAAACCATATACTGTACTGCATGATATGATTACGACAAGGAGATCAAGTCTTGTTACGCATGATGCGTCAAATCAATCTTCTTATCCGGTTTTGGAGAATACACTTTCCAATTATTGCTATGTAAAGCACATATCTATCAAAATTAACAAAATCGCAACTTTCTTAAATAAATTTTAAATTAAAAAAAAATCTTAAATAAATCATTTAAAAGTATCAAATAACTATTAAATCAGAGCTCGGTTTCAATCTCAATGGATAGTGTTTTAATACATCTAACGTGAGTGAAGCAGTAAAATCTCATAAACAAACACTCTCACTCTTCTGTTAATTATTTTTGCCCCGACAGTTGACCAAAAAGCTACATCATGTGCACAATTCTTGAGGGCACCAGGATGGCAATGAATCTAATAAGGCTAAATTACACGTTTGGTCACTCGAATTACATAAATTTTTCACGTTTGCCACTCAAATTACTTTTCTTTCATATCAGCCACTAACTTTACGATTCGTTTCACCGTTAGTCACCCTCCGTCAGACTCTGTTAACACCGTCAAATTTTAATGACATGGCAAACAGAAGTGCTGACTGTACCGTTAAGTTATGACGTGTCAATTTTTATAAAAAAAAATAAAAAAGAGATTACACCTCATTCCCTCCTCACAACAATCCTTCTCTTCTCCTTCCTCTTCGCACGAGATCTCTGATACCCCTGTCGATAGTCAAACCCGGAAGGCTGAATCCAGTCCGCCGCCTTTGTCATCAATCGCCCTCCGAGTTCGTTTCCGCAATCGGCGCCATCGATTTGCCCGTCCCGTCGGTGAGGTCCCTGTTACCAACACCGTCAAATCAAGTTTCAGCGGTGCCACAGACATCTTCTCCCGCGGCCGCTCGTTGCTTTTTCCTCATCCCGGTGCCGCTCGTTGCCGTAAACTCCGCCGCCTTCAGCAACCTAGTTCGACGCACCACCAAACTTTCCCGTCGCAGTCGGAGCCGCCACAGTCTCGCCAAGACCAGTTGATACAGCCTAATCTCAAGACCGTTGCTACAACCTCAGCCCGGAATCCACGCCATCGTCATCAGCCGATGCATGTGGCAATATGGAGGCTTAAAACTAATTTAACAAAATGCTAGATCATGATCAAGATCTATTGCCAGCTGCATTGCATTCGAAGACTTTCCCATGTTCCTTAATAGCTCTCGATTTCCATTGGTCTATCTGAATAATGAAAAGAAAAGGATGTGTATTGAAATACATCTACTTGCTTTGGGAAGTAATTGGCACCTCAAGCTGAGAAAATAACAGAGCAAACTTACAGGAATGACCAATTTTGCAGGAATGGCCACTGAACTTTGGGATTAGTGATCAATTAGTCAGCTGCCAACAGTTGACAAAAAGCTAGATCATGATCAATCATGTGATCCTGTAATGTGAGATATAATTAATGCTTGGTGCATGAGATCATAACTAAGGAATCTGATATTTTGTTTGACCCGATGATGATTATGAGTGCATAGTCTTTTTTTATATGTCAGAATCATCTTCAAGAAATCTGATATTTTGAGTTAGATTTGTCATATTGAATAATTTAAGCCACAAATGATACTTTTTGAATAGTTTGGACTTCCTATTGAAATTATCACTTATTTTTACCCCAACATTTTACCTAAAGCTAGATCATAAATGTGGACAATATTAGAAAAACCATTTATTGGCCCAAAAATCATGATGAATCATGTGATCATGTAATGTACGATATTATTAATGCATGCTTGATGCATGGAAACATATATAACTAAGGAATTCAATATTTTGTTGACCAGAAGATCATGAGTACGATATCCTAGGTATTGGTCCGGATTTTTTGGTGAAAGTCTCATCTTACATTTTATTCTATCTTCCTTTAGTAGTGTTAGTCTTATGATGTAGTTCTTATTATGTCAAAGTACGAATACTATGATGTAATTTCTTAAGATTATTTTCTTACTAGTTTGGATTTCTTCTAATCAGCGTCCTAAAAATCAAATGAGTATTTTTTTATTATACTAGTGTTTAATAACAAATCATATTCCTCACTCACTCACTCTTTTTTTTTTTACAAAAGATAATCATATATTCATACTAAAAATAGATCATTACATCACATGCCATAACCAGGCTACAAAATCAAAAGAACGACTTGCTATCGGATCCAAAAAAAGGGCCTTCCGAGCCACCAAATGGGCTACCCTGTTACTACGCCGACCAACGAACTGAACACTAAACCCCGCATTCTCAGCTAGGTAGAGCAACACCTCACGGAAGATAGCTCCCGCTCTACTATCACTCCCCTGAGCCAAATTAAGCCTGTCAACAACCACCTTCGCATCCCCCTCAAAACGAACAAGAAAAAGGCCTATGTTCCGACACCAAAAGGATGGCTTCTCGGAGGGCCAGCAACTCCACTAGCAACGGATCATCGACCTCCGAAAAGTACACACCCATCGCACCAACAACCACCCCATCTGGGCCCATCATCACTATCCCTCCGCCCGAGTGGGACCCTAGCCTAACTGCTCCATCCCATTTACAAATGAGGGAGTCCTGGCTAGCAGGGGACCCTAAAGGAATTCCCCTCACAAGGGCACACCCCACCACATCCCTTGGCAGCGAAGCCCACTCCCGCAGCTGTTGGTGATACTGACGCATTAGGAACGATACCCCAAACTGTTTGCCTATCTGTTCTTTCTTGGCCTACTGCTCGTGGGTCTTTGTCTTGTATTCTTCGTTGCTTTCATTTAATAAAGTTCATCATCATTATAAAAAAAAAAAAACTGTTTGCCTTCAAAGACAACCCAATTCCGAGACTTCCCCTCTTTCTTATTCCTCACTCACTCTAATTTACCTAATTTATACAATTATACTTCAAATCACAGAGATCCATGGAAACCAATATTTAGACCTTGTCACCTTGGTGACCAATTGGTCACTAGTCCCTAAGTTCAGTGACCATACCTGTAAATTCGCCCGCAGGGAGAGCCCGCCTTGGATCAAACTCTCTCCGTCTCTCGTCTCGTCATCGCGAGTTAATCCAAAGATTTTAAAACAAAAAGAAAAGGGTTAATTGCATGATTGGTCACTGAGATTACGAAAAACGTTCATGTTTGGTCACTCAAAATATTTAAATCCATTCAAAGTCACTAGATTTAGTAAAACAATTCAAGTTTGGTCACTCTCCGTCAAACTCTGTTAACTTTGGCTGATGTGGCAGTCAACTCTCATAGTTGACCGTTAAATATGTGATGTGGCAATTAAAAAACTATAAAAAAATTATATTTAATCATTTTACAATTTTCACCTCATTTTTACAACTATTAAAAAAACCCCTAATTTTTATCCCCTCTGGCAAACATCCTCCTCTCATACCTTATCCCACCAAAACAAGAAATTGACCAGGGATCTCACATATAGATCATACAAATGAAAATTACAGTTCTTGTAACGAATAACTTCATAAAATTGATTTCAATCCCTTTAATTAGATTCTAATTCTCGAGCATACTTCTCATGCTCTTCCATGAAGAGACTCGGGACGTCGATGGCTTCGTCGGACGAATGCTTCCATGACCGCCTACCACGTTTGCCGCCCATGCTAGTAGTCCCCCCATGGCCTCCGCCTCTCGATGTGGACTCTGCTTTGCGATGAACTATTATCGTCGCACCTGCTGATGCTGGTGGTGGAGCCAAAATGGCAGCCTCCTTTCCGGGGAAGAAAAGGCAGAGGAAGATTGGGGTTTCAAAGTGATAGTGTAATGCACTTGGGGACGGCGGATTCAGAGTTCAGGTATTGCTAGCTGAAACGGAATAGGCAGAAGAAGGAGGCAGAGAGTGAGAGAATGTGTGGCACATGGAAGCATGGGAAGAAGAAAGATGAGGAGAGAGAGAGGCCAAGAACGAGAGGGAAAGTGGTGATGAGTTTTCTTTTCGTTTGGGTGCTGTTGATCACTATTTTTGATGAGACGAAAGTCGGGGGTCCGATTTGGATGAAAACGGGTCCCATGTGAAATTGCCCAGCCGATAAGCTAATTGAGGGCGATCAGTGAGCTTTCTCTCTCTATTTCAACAAGAAAAGGCTATTGTATATCTAAAGCCCACTTGAAGCCAAAATAAGATCGAAGCAAAAGTGAACAACAAGATGGGATGCGCCGCTGGTGGTGGTGACGAGGTGGGAGAGGACGCCGGGTGTAGGTGGGGCATTAGAAGAGGGAGTAGAGGCCGGGACGGAGGCGGAGGAAGAGAGGGAGGAGCAGAAGAAAAAGGCCGGGGCTGTTGGTCCATGCGGCGGAGAAGGAGTGATGGAGGTGGAGTTGATAATTAGTGAGGTTTATGGAGTTAAAAGTAATAATTTTTATTTTTTATTCTAATGATAGTGATAATGAGCTGGAAATTATGGATTTTTTTTTTTTTTTTATTGTCACGTCATACATTTAACAGTCAATTAGGAGAGTTGACTGCCACATCAGCCAAAGTTAACAGAGTTGGACGGAGAGTGACCAAACTTGAATTGTTTTACTAAATCTAGTGACTTTGAATGGATTTAAATATTTCGAGTGATCAAACATATAATTAACCAAAAAAGAAAAAGAAAGGTCTTTGCTTGAAAATCAGTTGCCGGCCGGCGTAATCCCCAAATCACCGGCCAAAATTTCAATTTGGGAGAGAAGCGCGATGAAGGGACTAACCCTTTCCCCAACAAACCATTGTTTTCCCAATCTCCCTGGCAAAATCCCAACAACAGACCCACAACCACTACAGAAATGCTACCCGATTCAATCCATCACCAAACATCGTCGACAATCCCTCATTCTCCCTTCCATCGCCGTCAAATCCTCCCAAAACCCTCATCAATTCCCGCCGATCCAGCAGCACGATTCGCCGCCTCTGGTCGTGGTGGGCTCCGCCAACGCCGACATATACGTCGAAATCGACAGGCTGCCAAAGGAAGGAGAGACCATCTCGGCCAGCAACGGCCAGACGCTCGCCGGCGGGAAGGGCGCCAACCAGGCTGCCTGCGGCGGCAAGCTTTCTTACCCGACTTACTTTGTGGGTCAGGTCGGAGAGGACGCTCACGGGAATTTGATCGCTGAAGCTCTCAGAAATGGCGGGGTGCGCCTCGATCATTTGAGGAACGTTGGTGATGGTGTGCCGACTGGGCATGCCGTCGTGATGCTGCAGTCAGGTGGGCAGAACTCCATTATCATTGTTGGTGGAGCTAACATGAGCTGCTGGCCTGAGAAGCTGGGGGACCAGGATTTGGAGATTGTGAAGAATGCTGGGATTGTTTTGCTCCAGAGAGAGATTCCTGATTCCGTGAACATCCAAGTTGCCCAGGTTAGTCCTTTGGAATCGACGGATATTGTTTTCTTCTTTGGAATTATTAGCTAGTTCTACATGTTGGTGCAAAATACCAATTTGCTAGCTCTAGAATTAGATAGTGAGACGATAAAAGCACCAAACTTGCCTGATGAATCCCATGAGCATTCTGCATATTCTCCATCAATGCACAATGTGATACATATTAAGCGAGAGATCGATGACCAGGTTGGTATCTAACAGGGATATGTTGATAGACAGTAGGATTCTTACGTTTCGATGGATGTCGAAATACAGACTAAGCACAAATGAGGGAATTACATGGAGAGTAGTAGCAAGCATCAGTCTTTGGTTTAGCTTCAGGATTTTGTTGGCAGTCTATGACACTGTAATCCTGGTTTGGGACTTCTCATACCATCATTAACTCTGATAACTGAATGAGCAGAAATGTTTTGATAATTATTTCATTTTATATCTGCTCTAGTTTTGTGATGGTTCCTGTCTTGCTACATAAGAAAATATACTCAGATGGCCTTTCTTTCAACTTTGTAAATGATACTTCCCTGTATTGATTCCTTAGGCAGCAAAAGATGCTGGCGTTTCCGTAATTTTGGATGCTGGTGGAATGGATACGCCTATACCAGCTGAACTGCTCAGATCCGTGGACATCTTTAGCCCAAATGAAACTGAGCTTGCCCGAATCACTGAGATGCCAACTGAAAGCTTCGAGCAAATTGAAGAGGCTGTCAAGAAGTGCCACAATATGGTCAGTCTTGCGTTTCTGGACAGCTTATCATAATTTTCCTGTGCATACCCGAGTTCTCTTTAGTGTATATCTGTGCATTTTATTTGGTAACCTTGCTGTTATTTGTGCATAAGTTGGGAATGCTCTTGGAGACGACTGGTAAACTTCCTGTTTGGAATGCTTCTGGATACCATCAAATCCTGTCTAGATTAGTGATCCTACTAACTTTCTTTTGAAGAGACTTGTGTGTTTGTCAATAATTAGTCATCGGATTGATGGGATATTGCCGAGATATAGTTCTTGGACATGGTTTGATGTGGCGATTGTTTTCAGGGAATAAAACAGGTCCTTTTGAAGCTTGGTTCAAAAGGGTCTGCCTTATTTGTAGAAGGTGAAAAGCCGATTAAGCAGCCTATCATACCAGCGGCTAGAGTTCTGGATACTACAGGAGCTGGAGATACTTTTACTGCTTCCTTTGCAGTTGCACTTGTAGAAGGGAAGTCGAAAGAAGAATGCTTGAAATTTGCTGGTATGTTTCGACTTTAATCCCTTTGATGGCTCGTCCTTCTATTTATAAATCATCATCCTGTTGTAGTCATATTCACCATATGAATGATGTTTGTTCGCTAACATGTTTCATTCCATAACTCCTGATTATCGGAATTTGTTTGATTTTCATACAGCTGCGGCAGCTTCTCTTTGTGTTCAAGTCAAGGGAGCCATCCCCAGTATGCCTGATCGGGCGTCGGTTACCGATCTTCTTCAAACTGCCCAAGTTTCTTGAAGGAGAGGTAAAGACTATAGATGTTTTCTAGCTTCAGAAAGGCTAGAAAAGAAATTTTCAGTAGTCTCAAAGGCAAGAGGATAGAAATTTGTTCCATTCAAGATCTGTGAGTGATGGACTGTAGCATTAAGGAAGCTATATGCTTCTTCTCTGTCTCATCAGTCATCAGTGTATGAATAGAGCTTAGAGACAACACTTCATCTATATAACTCACTTACAGCTGCATTTACACATACTCATCAACCAAAATGACATAATCATCACGATGTTCCATCTCTGTCTTAAGGCTCCAACCTTTCTTGAGCAGAAGCTTCATTTTTCCATGGGCTTTAGTTTTAGTGCCGCGCTGCAAAAGATCATGCCCAATGTTTCAGGAAACCGAATCTACAGAGCTCAAGGTGGGGAACCGACGTTCTGCATTTAGATTTTACATACCTGTTTATGCAGTAGCGTTGGCCAGTTGGTGGCGGACCATCACCAAACACATGCCCTAGATGAGCATCACAGACGGCACACAGGACTTCCGTCCTGGGCATGAAAATGATCGACAAGTCCAGCTTCGACTTCACATTGTTCCCTATTGGCTGGTAGTAAGATGGCCACCCAGTTCCACTGTCGAACTTGGTCGATGATCTGCACATAGAGATCTCGTTGTCGTTTGTTAGCATATGCATTTGCATTCTCGAGAGATCTCGAAACTTGTTTAGACACTTACTCGAACAGCGGCGTGTCGCAGCATATGCAGTGGTATGTTCCTGGGGTTTTGGTGTTGTAGTATTCCCTGACAGTTCACAAACAACAAAAGCAGCGTTATGCAGATTTCCAAATCACCAATAGACGTGAATGGAATTAGAAAGTGTTTTCAGCGATAGATTACCCGGTGAAAGCCCTCTCGGTTCCCTTCTGACGAGTCACGTAGAACTGTTCCGGCGTAAGCTTCTTCTTCCATTCTTCATCACTCGACGGAACCGCCTTCTGCGTATCTACAAGAGGCCGACGCCAATCGGTAAAAGCCAAATCATACGCCGAAAAAGAGTTACCACAAGAACCCCCCCAGCAAATGAGCAGAACATATATTTAGAGAGAGAGAGAGACCTTGAACGTCTTCTGGTTTTGGGGAAGAAGCAGAGGAACCCATGGCGCGAACAGGCGAAGCAGAAGCAACCGATCGTCGGCCAGGGAATCGGCAGCGACGGCTATTATCCTTCAGAGACACGGAAGAGTCGAAGCTGAATCGGAGTATCGACGAATGCAGCCTTACTCTTGTTGATGCTGCAGCTGCCGATAACTGTATCGTCGTGCTATAACCCAGAGCAGCCATTGACTTCATTTCGTTTTTGGCGCAAAACCACGATACTACCAGTGGTCTCTAGAGCACCGGATTAACTTTCGACCTTTTGACCACGTGGCGCTAGAAAGATCGCGAAGAAGGATATGGACGAGAGGTTCATGCAACGACACGTGAAAGTTCCGGCACGATGGATGGTGCTAATTGCTATACGCAACTACAAGGAAAAATTCTCTCTGTCACCTCTAAACCATAACAACTAAAACAAAAAAAAAAAAAAATTCACATATTTTTTAACTGTTATTTTAGATTTATTCACGTAATACTATACTTATTCACGTACCGTGTAAGTTATTCATATAAATAAAAAATTCAAATTTTTTCCTCTAATAATTTGTATTGACTATATTTTATAAAATTAAATTTGATTTCTCAATCAATCTCTAAAAAATTCTATACATTCTTGAATTTCATTCGCTCTTTTTTTTTTTTTTTTTGCCATAGATCAATAGTGTCTTTTTCTGTAGTACGATTTAACAAACACAACTGTCTAGTCAAATCTCACCAAAAGTTTTTTTTTTTTTTTGGTAGAAACCAAAAGTTAGTTCCACACTCTTCTAGGACTGAGAATAGTTACAATTAGTCAACATTTCATTCGAGACATTTCCGGAACAAAATCTTGGAGGAATATATTTGGAATAATAATAACGCTATGGCCTACTTTGTCCCGTGGCCCTCTGCCTCTGCCTATAAAAACGGGAAACCCCACCGCTACCCTACGCCGCGCCATCTGTACTACTAGTGATCAAATCAAATCCTTCGTATAAACCAAAAAGCAAACAGACCCGAGAGAGCTCCAAACTCAGAGCACCGGTGGAGAGCATCAATGGCCAACGAGTTGATTCTGCTGGACACATGGGTGAGCCCGTTCGGGATGCGGGTCAGGATCGCTCTACGCGAGAAGGGGATCAAGTTCGAGTACAAGGAAGAAGATTTGACGAACAAGAGCGATCTGCTGCTGAAGATGAACCCGATTCACAAGAAGATCCCGGTTCTCATTCACAACGGGAAGCCCGTCCGCGAGTCTGGCATCATCGTTCAGTATGTGGATGAGGTTTGGCACGACAAGGCTCCATTGCTGCCTTCTGAACCTTACCCCAGAGCTCAGGCTAGGTTCTGGGCTGATTTCGTCGATAAGAAGGTTCGACTTCTTTCTTTATTTACGTTTTGATGTCTCTTTGTATTGGTTTTTCCCCCCCCCCCCCCCCCAAAAAAAGGGTGATTCTTACTGCGATTATGATTGAGGGTTTGCTTGTTTGTTTATGACTGTTCAAAGGTAAAGGTTGGAGCTTGAATTCATGGAGATGAAGGTAGTTGTAGGAAGATATGAGCTTGGATATCAGGGTGTAGTGATCAATGAAAGTTGCAAGTAGACATAATTTGGGGATTTGGGGTTCAAATGCTCAATTTGATAAGCGAAATGACCTACTCAGTGACTAACAAGTCCCTTTAAGTTGTCTTAGCAAAGTAACGTTTGTGGAAAGAGCTCTTTCTTTTCTGTTGTACAGGCGTTGTTGTGGTTCAAGCTCAAGCTTGGTCTGGAGTTGGAAAACTAGAGTTGTCTTCTAATAGGATAAGGATATACTTTTGTCTGATTACTGGAACTTTGAATTCAGCAATCAAAGAAGAACAGAATAACCAAAACATGCTTGTCTTAATTGTTTAATCTGCAGATCTACGATACAGGGAGGAAGATCTGGACAACAAAAGGGGACGAGCAGAAGTCAGCCACAGAGGAGTTCATAGGGTACCTGAAAACACTGGAAGCAGAGCTGGGAGCCAAGCCGTATTTCGGAGGGGAGAAGCTTGGTTATGTGGATGTGACAATGATACCATTCTACTCATGGTTCCATGCCTATGAAGTCAGTGGCAACTTCAGCATTGAATCAAACTGCCCCAAGCTGATGGCATGGGCCAAGAGGTGCATGCAGCACGAGAGCGTGTCCAAAACCCTTCCAGACCCCAAGAAGGTCTATGAGTTCATCCTGCAGCTGAAGAAGAGGCTTGGAATTGAGTAACTGAAGAATCTTTTGATAGATTCTTGTCCTAGGGTTTGTCTAATTCCGTATGGAGCTACTTAGGTCTGTGTTCTTAAGTTGAGTGTTTGTGAGTTGAGGCAAATAAAGGAAGGCACCTTGATGTGGTGTGCCTCTAGACTAGGAGTGGCAGTGGGCACTTAAATGTGCCTTACTGTGGTTGAGTAATGTCATGTGTGATGCTTCAGTGTAGTTGTTTGTTTCTCTTTGGTGAAAATAAACCTGCTAGAAGGTTTGGAATCTGAATCCATTACGGGAGCACCGTTTCACCACGAGGGCGAGACTTGTTCGCCAATCTGACTGTTGGCAAGCAATCACAGCATGACAATTGCGACTGCCATTTTTCTTCTATAGGAATTTGAGGAGGTTTGACTTTGAACCTGAGCTAGGTACAATGTATGAAGTGGATGCGACATGTCGTTATCTACAGCATATTGATTACTTTAAACGAGAATCTTCGCCTCAATCTCGATGTCGATATAACTATAAACTATGTGAAGTTACACCGAACTCTGTTTATCACACACTCCACCGACTGAACAGAGCTACACGGAACAAGCCAAGCCCGAAGGAGGGAGCTCCACAACAGAGAGCATCAATGGCGGAGGAGGTGATTCTGCTGGACACATGGGTGAGCCCGTTCGGGATGCGGGCCAGGATCGCTCTAGCCGAAAAGGGGATCAAGCACGAGCACAGGGAAGAAGATTTGGGGAACAAGAGCGATACGCTCCTGAAGATGAACCCGATTCACAAGACGATCCCGGTTCTGATTCACAACGGGAAGCCCGTCTGCGAGTCTAACAACATCGTTCAGTACCTGGACGAGGTTTGGCACGATAAGTCCCCATTGTTGCCCTCGGATCCTTACCTCAAAGCTCAAGCTAGGTTCTGGGCTGATTTCGTCGATAGGAAGGTTCGTTCATCCGTTTTTGTTTGCTCTGTCTCCCTTTCGATTCGGTTTCCTTGTAGGATGATTCTTAGTGGGTTTATGGGTTGAGGGTTCGTTGGGGGATTGTTCAAAGGTAAAGGTTGGAACTTGAAGTTAAAGAGCTGGAGATGAATGTTTTATCTGATTAGAACTCTGAACTCAAGTAATCAATGAAAAAGAGAACAACCATCAATACCTACTCTCACCTCACCTCTGCCAACTTTTTGAACAATTTGCAGGTCTTCGATGCAGGGCGGAAGGTATGGGTGACGAAAGGGGAAGAGCAGAAATCCTTGATGGAGGAGTTCATAGGGCACCTGAAGACACTGGAAGCTGAGCTTGGCGACGAGCCCTACTTCGGAGGAGAGAAGATGGGCTATGTGGATGTGACAATGGTGCCAATCTACTCATGGTTCCATGCCTATGAAGTGAGTGGCAACTTCAGCTTTGAATCCCACTGCCCCAAGCTGGTGGCATGGGCCGAGAGGTGCATGCAGCACCACAGCGTGTCGAAAGCTCTACCCGACCCCGAGAAGGTCTACCAGTACGTTCTGCAGCTCAGAAAGAGGCTTGGGATTGAGTAGTAACTGAAGAAGACTCTTAGAAGTCTGTTTTGGTCTGTAGGGAGCTTGTTCGTCTGTGTTCTTGAGTTGAGGCAGTAAAGGTAAGGAAGTCACATTGATGCTGTGTGTCTTTAGGGGGGGCACTTAAATGTGGCACTCATGAATCTACCGCGTTCAGTGGTGTGGTAGTGTTGTAATGTTATAAATAAATAAAAACCATTGCGCAGTGTATTTCATCCAGAACACTCCAGCTGAATGATCCTGGAAATTAGGTCCTTCTTAATGTATTTCATCCCTCTGATTTCTAGAATGCATGATTTCTAAAAATGCACCATTTTGTATAATTTTGTTTTAAATATTTTGTATTGCATACTCTACATAATGTTATGAATATATGATATGATATAGCTGCTCTCATTTTTTAAACATAGATAATATAATAATAAACTTTGAAAAATGAAGTCATTTGTATGACTTTAGCCCTTTCCAATTTTCACAATTCAAACCTCAAGAGTTTTTAGATTTTTATCCACTCATTTAATTCCGGCTCCACTACTACTAATACTGTAATACATGAACAGGTGGTTTATCAAACCTTTTTTTACTAAAAATATAATCAATTGATATTGCAACCCTTTATAGTTTAAAGTTTAACATTACACGAATGAGTATTTGAGGTAGAATTAAATTGTACTAGCAAAGGGAATGGAACTTGTTTAATGAAATCTAAGAGAAGAGAAAGAGAAGCCAACCTTGTTTTCCCTGTTTAGGTACTAAACTTTGCTTTTTCTTTGTTAAAATAAACATTGATATTCATTTGATTGTAATCAACCAATCACATTGATGTTTATATTATATATATTATTTTAAAAGTGAAAAGATCAGACAGGAAGTAGTCTTTCCTATAATTAAATCATGGCCAACGAGGCAAATCACAATTTGAACTCTTTGAAATCATCTCGACGATATTATCTATGAAAACAAAAAAACAAGTGATAGGATAATATAAAAGGACAAATCTTGCACGTTGTACAATATATTTTGGGATTTTCTCACGTGTCCATCTGTCATTTGGTCACCAATCATTAACGGCTATTTTTAAGATGGTCACTGAACTTTACACTATCAACGAATTGGTCACTAAACCTTTCATCTGCAATTGAATTTGTTATTAAAATTTTGAAATACTACCATTTCACAACTCTTTTGTTTCGAATTATCTTTAAATTTTTTTAATACAATGAGTACAAGAACCAAATTATATCGAAACATATCTAAAATACTCTTGCTTGGATTTGTGATCCTAACTGTTTTCTTGATTTTCGATACTTATAACAATTCATTTTGATTCTAGATGGGGATGGGAGCATATCTGCCTCTATCCAAAGTTCAGTGACCATTGCGTAATAAGCCCCATTATTAAGGGGATTGCTATTCGTCGCCCTAAAACTTCTTATTTGTCGCCCTAATCTTCATAAAATTACTTAAATACCCTTATTTTAGTCTTTGTTTTCAAAACATTTACAGCTTTGCCACAAGAGTAGACTATTGATTTTGCCTGGCCACACGTAGAAGCCTATCATCTTCGCAGTGGGATAAAAGAAAAGAGGTAGCAAACATGGATTCAAAAAATTGTAAAAGATGTAGACAAGATAAATCGATTCACGGCTGCTTTCTGTACTCGCCGGAGAGCTCTTGTAATTGAAGCTAATTACAAGGATATAAAAAATTCAATCTAAGAAGCGATTCAAAAAAAAAAAAAAAAAAAAAAAACCAGCAGCAGCGGGTAGGCAGGCGGCTGGGGAACGATAGCGCCGGACCAAGCTGCTCAAACCTTCTACCTCCTGCAGTCCTGCTTCTTCCTTCTCCTTACTCAGCAACAGAAGCGGGTGACAGCACTCGTACCTTCTTCCTCCTGCTTCATCTTCTTCCTTCCTCAACAATAGCAGCGGGTCGGCGTGCTAGGGGAATGGCCACGGCGGCTGGTGGGATTCAATCTCTTTCTCAGCAATGACAGCAGGTCGGCAGAGTTTGGGATGGGAGCGGCGGCGGTTGGGGGAATGGGAACGGCAACGGTGGTGGGACAGTTGGTGGGCTGGACGGCAATCCGAGCTGGGTACTATTAGTTGATACGGATTGAAATTGGGTATATGGGTATAAATGTCAATTTAGTACAATTTAGGGCGAAATAATTTAAATTTTAGAGCGACGAATAGCTATTCAGATTATTAACTCCAGCTGAAAAGGGAAAGGCATTCCCATTTTTGCTATAAATCCATACTCAGCAACTCGGCCACCGTCAAATCAAAACTCCAAGGCCCAAAATTTGAGCAGAGTGAACAAATGGCGGAAGTGGTTCTTCTGGATTTCTGGGGTTCCCCATTTGGGATGAGAGCAAGAATAGCTCTGGCGGAGAAAGGCGTGAAGTATGAGTACAAGGAAGAGCATCTACTGACTGGGAAGAAGACGCCCCTGCTTCTGGAGACCAACCCAGTTCACAAGAAGATCCCAGTCCTCATCCACAACGGCAAACCCATCTCTGAATCCCTCGTCATTGTTCAGTACATCGAGGATGCCTGGAGCGACACAGCTCCGCTGCTGCCGGCCGATCCTTACGGCAGATCTCAGGCCAGGTTCTGGGCTGATTTTGTCGACAAGAAGGTATGCCCTTTTTTCCACCAGTCTGTTCTTTTACTCTGTTTTCACTAGTACGACAACATAGATTCAGGGAAGTTGATGGATTGCTGGAAATATGTGCACGTGGTGAACTAGGGTTTGGACCATTTTTTATTGGAGGGGGAAAGTAAAGGCAGTGATTTAGAGTATAGCTGTTTTGTGGTCCGCTCCTAGATCTATAGCTTTATCACTTTTGGTGATTGAAAAACAACGGGATTGTGCATAACCCATAAACTCATGGATGTTCATGTTGGGCAATAGGGACAGTCCACTCCGATTCATAGCCAACAAATGAAGTTAGATTAGGATTAAGAATAGGTTTTATAAGAGAGCTATTGGGACGAAATGTTTTCTCACAAGGTTGAAATAAACTGATTGTGTTACCAAAATCGTCCAATGAATCCAACCCCTGTCTCTCTCCGGTTTGAGTAGATCTTGGGTTCATGTCTGCATTTACACTCGACATGGAGGAGGTGAGGGCTGGATTGGAGAAAGGGGTTTGGGTCAAATGGTCGGTCACATAGGGGGTGTTGGTGGGTCTATTGTGGTGACAAGGTGACCCTGTTGAGACTGACTAAACTCGGCGTAAAGGGTTGCTGACCAGTCGATCGGGGTGATACGAGGAGCCTATTGAGCATTTCGATTTGACAAAACTTAATTTATTTCCTTCCCATTTTCTGCTCAGCGATCATTTTGTTACGAACCTTGTGCCAGATATACGACCAGGGGAAGAAGATATGGGCGAACAAAGCAGGAGAAGTACAGGAAGCAGGCAAGAAGGAACTGATGGAGAGCTTGAAGCTACTGGAAGGAGAGCTAGGAGAGAAGCCATTCTTCGGAGGGGAAACCATCGGGTATGTGGATGTGGCTTTGGTGCCTTTCTACACATGGTTTTACTCCTTCGAAACAATCGGCAACTTCAGCATCGAGGCAGAGTGCCCCAAACTAATTGAATGGGTTAAGAGGTGCTTGGAGAGGGAGAGCGTCTCCAAATCCTTGGTTGACCCGGAGAAGGTCTACGTTGACCTCATCCTGGTGCTCAAGAAAATGTACGGTTACGAGTAGAAAAAAAAAAATGTTCAGTGATTCTGTTTTTCACTTTCCCTTGTTGGGGGTGTTAAAAACAAATTTGCAATGTGATTTGCTTTCCGTTATGGCTAGAGGAACTTGGTGGGGAGAATAAGGTTCAACTGATGTATGGGAACTATTTGGCATCAATGATGATGGATGGTCTATCTAGTAAGGTTGATGTGATAAAGCGGTTTTGGGATTTGGCAGCTTAGGTCGGATTTGTACATGTTGTATTGAATATTACATACTAGCTTATACACGATCCTTTCAAGATGAATTAATGGTGACCGAAGTAAAAAAAAGAAGAATTAATGAAAAGTTGATAAATTGAATGAATTTTAGGGAAAATAAATCAAAACTCTTAATATGTTGTTAATAATCTCCTGCACTAATTTCTTGACTCTTAAATTGATGAAACACAACTAATTAACCTAAAAGCTAGTAGCCTAATCTGTCACTGCCACTCTTAACTAATCGTATAATTAAACCTCTCGCCCACTAATTACACACACTATGCATGCCCTAGCAACCCATAAAATATTGGTCATGTTTCTAACTAATAATCCACAATTAAATGCAAAAGAAAAACTAAATTAGACGTGCGCCAAACAAACATGTGTAAGATCTACAATTATATCCCGAAAGAAAGGAAAATTAAGAGAAATTTAAAGTCAACATTTCGTTGTTACAATAGATATCGATACCCCTAACCGATAGGTGTGACAATTGGGAGAAGAAAAAAAAAGGAAATCTAGTTCTCTGCAAAGCACAGGTAGTAGTGGGTTTGGGCCCAACAGCCCAACTTTCGTTTTGCTTGGATATTGGTTGACCGTGGGGTTGGGTCCTATCCCCATCCAACCAAGGGAAGGCCCAATTACGTGCCCACTTGCTAGCCATATAATATGTTAAGCTTATGTGTGGTACCCTACCTGGCAGCAGTTGGTTAAAAAAACACACTTAACCTTACGCTTAAGCACGTCTAGACGCAAGGCAATGACAAAACGCTCGTTTAGGAGTTTCACGTCTAGTTAGATACTGGAACACTTCAATGGAGTAAGGCGATATCTAAGTCTCTCCTATAACTAGATGGAGCTAGAAAGTCAATATTAAATGAGAAAATTAACATCAACTACGAAATCAATTTTCTATATCAATATTTTCAATAATTCAAGAACTTTGTGAGCTATGATTCTATGAATTCATGAGCTATTTGATAGATCGATAATTATACATGTTTTTACCCCTATTCTGAGGCCGTTTGCGACGAGGAATCTCGTGGTTTAAGCCGATTTCACGCTAGGTTGTGTGTTTTATGTCATATTTCAGGTCCCGGCGTTGGAATCGAGGCGGAGAAACGAGTTCTGGGTCGAAAGGAGCAAGGTTGGGACGAATAGGGCTGAAGGAGCAAAATACCCGGTCAGGTGGCCAAATACCCGACCGGGTATTAACCAAGGTTGGGCGCCCGAGAAACAGAGAGGGGCCCGGGCACAGCAGTTAAATCCCCGGTCGGGGATTTTGGTGTTGGACCGGGTATTCCCCTCTTTAGTGAAACGGGGCGTTGCAGAGAT